ATCCCTGCCAGGACAGGGACAAAACCACTGGCTCTTGGTGCACAGTGTGGTTTGGGCACAGAGACACCGGGTTTGAGAGCACTGCAGGGTGCCAGGGCTGATGGGGAGGGGGCACCCCCAGCCAGGCACGGGCTGTGGCACTGCTTCAGGGGGAATCTTCCATCAATCGCTACTGGAGCTGGTGCAGGGATGTGTCACCTCCCCAAAAGGTGTCGGGGGTCTTGGGCTGTCCCCAAGGATGAATTGGGTGGCCAGGAAAGGGCTGTGAGGGGCTCCCAGCCCAGTGCATGGCCACTGCATCCCACCCTGTCTGCACTCCCGGGCGGAGAAGCACCTTCATTCTTCTTTAATGATAATGACAGTCCCATCTGCAGAACATCTGCAGCCAGATGAGTGATTATGGAGCCTCCCAGCACGGGGATAATGGGATAGCAGCCCCTGTGGAAATCACAGCTCCATGCTTGCTGTTGGGCTGGAGCCAGTCCCACTCGTGCAGGAGGGTCTGGAGGCACCACATCCCCCCGGAGCTGTGGGAGCTGTGGGAGCTGTGGGAGCTGTGGGAGCTGTGGGAGCTGCTGGTGCTGGAGGCCAGTGCGAGGCTGTGACCCCCCTCCCATGCACGTGAGGTTTGAGAAGCAGAATTTGAGGTACACAAGCAGAATTCCCGTTCCATGGGTAAAGCCAACAGGCCAAATTTTAGCATTTAGCCAGGGCAGAAGGGCTTTTCCAGACCAGTAGCTGATTCTATAGCACAGTTCAGACATAATCCGAGCATAGCTCAGTGTTTTAATCCACCCTGGGACGTGTTTTTCTGCACAACTAACAGAGTCAAGGTCAGGTCTTTGCTAGTTGTTTTGAGGCTAAACCATACATTTTTCATCTTTCCTTCCTTTGCTGCTACCTGGAGATTGTATCTGATGTTGGCAGCTCTGGGAAGCTTCACATCCTCTTCATCAAACACCAGTGCTGCGCTTAAAGATGGCGTTATTTAAATTAGAGATGGGGTTTTATCTTTTATTCCTGCTGCAAAGCACTGCTGTGTTACCCTGAGGGTAAAGGATGCTCCTTGGGGGGGTTTGGGCCCAGGACTCTGGTCCTGATGCTGATCCGGGTGCAGCCCGGCAGCTCCACCTCCACGCCCACATCCACACACCCGCCGCCGTTTGCCTTTAAGGTTTCTCACCCCTTACAGCAGCACGTAATTTAAACAGAAGCACTTTAGAAGTCAACTAATTAGCACCAGGGAGGCATCCCCCCGGAGTTCGGCGCCGAGCCGTGCCCTCCTTTCTGTTACGAGATCCTTCCAGCTGGAAATCACAGCGACTGCAGTTTTTAGGGAAAGAGAGAGGGCTGGTGCCTGCGAGCCGGGGCAGAGCCGGGCAGGGAGGGCAGAAGTGGCACTGAGGGCCGGCGGGTGCGGACGGAGGCTCTCGGTCGATGGTAAACCTCCACCTGGCACTGCGAGGTGGCGGGAGCCAGGCGAGGGCAGCAGGGCTGGGCCCAGGTGGGTCGCTGGCGCTCCGGCCCATCTGGCTGCGGTCCCGGCACCGCGGGGGTGCCACGCGCCAGGGCGGCACCGGCTGGCGCGGGTTGGGTTGTTGGATCCGGCCGTGTCGTGGGCGTGAGCCGAGGCTGGGGCTCAGCTGCATGAGGATCTGAAGCATCTCCCTTTTGTTCCCGACGCACCCTGACAAATGGGGAAGGACCGGAGTTTCTCTCGGCATTTTCGGTACGTGTCCCTGCTCCGTTCCCCCGCGTGGGCTCCGTGGCCGGGGGGGTGCTGGGAGAGCCTCGTGCCCCACGGGCATCCCCACGAGGGCTCTGCTCTCCAGGGCTGTGGGGACCCTGCTCTGGTACTGGGGCAGTCCTACCACTGCCCCGTGCCCACCGTGGTGGTGGCACAGGCTGCTGGGGGGAGTCGAGCGAAGCTCAGATGAAAAATTGGGGTGGGGGTGCTGGGGAGCAGCAGGAAGAGCCCATCTGGGCCTGCTTTGTCTCTGTGGCTGTAGGCCAGCCAAGGGGTGGGTGGTGAGGAGGGGGCTTGGGGGTGCTGGGTGTGATGGAGCGAGGCCCGGGGACCCCTCGCTCCCAGACTGGCTGAGCACGAGCTCTGAGCAAACCTGGGGCATCTTCACCTGCCCCAGCCAGGGCTGGAGCTGACCCTGCTGCCCTCCCAAGGGGACACATCCTGCTCCAGTGAGGCTCAGCATCCCGGGGTGGGGCCGTCCAGGTGAGCTCAGCACCCATCGCAGGACACGTGCGTGTGGAAGAGGGGATTCTCCAGAGTGCTGGGCTGGGAAATCGGGGAGCCAGCTCCCAGCAAGGGTGGGCTGCAGGAGTGGGACTGTCTGCCTGGGGGTGGGTGGCCAGTGACCTACCTGGGAGCTGGAAAATAGCGAGTGTGACACAGACTGAGATGTGTTTGAACACGCCAAAGGGAGCCCTGAGCAGAGCTGAGCCCTGGGGATGGGCACTGGGCACTGGCAGAGACTTTTCCAACCCACAGCACTGTGCCACTGGCCTGACCTGGCTGCTTTGGGGATGGGGTGAAGGTGAAGAAGGCTAGAGCCTCTGGGGCCTCTCCTGGCCTGGAAAACGCCCTGAATTCACATCTGTGTGTTGGAGCAGAGTGAATCCTCCCGAGCAGGTGCCAAACCGCTGCAGAGGAGGGCTGGTGCCCTGGGGCTCAGCACACCCTGCACGGGGACGGAGCGTGCAAAGGGCTGCAGTGCCCGGGGATGGGGATGCCTTTCCCATCCCTGCTCCAACGGGAAACAGAGCCAGAGCTGACCTGGAGCACCCCAGGAGGAGGAAGAGGTGCATGAGGTCAGCGCTTTATGGCTCTGCTGCTGCTCCCGGGCTGACCTCCACAAATGGGGTGGGTGCATCCCTGCTCCGTGAATCCCGGTGGGATTTGCCGGAAGAGGGACGTCCCAGCTGGGTGCTGCTCCTCCGTGCCATGCCAATGGGCAGAACCAGGTTTATCCCATGGGATAGCAGGATTCTGCAAAGCCCCAGGCACCACCTGCCCTGGGCCGGTGCTGATGTCAGTGCTGGTGCCGGTGCCAGTGCCAGTGTGTGCTTCATGGGTGGTATCCTGCTGGAACTGAGGCATCCACTCTAATGACCCCACATGCTGTCTTTGATGGGTCCCTTTGATGCACCAGACCTGGGCACACGTTTCAGGTGTTGGCACCCTCTGAATCGCAGGGATCAGGGATCCCCAAGCAGCACAGGGCCATCCAGGTTTTGCAGAAGGGAACTATTTTGCATGTTTAGTGGGATTATTTGTAGTCACTCAGCTGTCTCCTTGCTGAGGCAGCGTTGTTCTTGGAGCAGTAAGGCAGTGGATGGTGCAGCTCGTGTCCTCGTGCCTGGGTAGGGAGCTGTGCTCCATCCTGGTGCCTGGCAGCCCCGTGGTGAAGCAGAGGTTGGTGTAAAGTGGGACAGCTCTGCTGGAATAAGCAGGGCCGATTTAATTTGGCCAATTAAATGGGATTGTGCTCATTTTGCCTGCGAGGAACCCGGACTTCTCCCTGGTGGGCACCCAGCCTGGGGCAGAGGTGTGGGGGACCCACATCCTCCCCTGCCCCAGGGCTGTGGCCACCCTGTCCCAGAGCTCACATCTGGGTGAACTGTTTGTTAGCACAGTTTCATTCTTTTCTAGTTGCTGCTTAATCATACATCGCCTGGGAATTGCACCAATGTGTTACTTGTTTTAAATTGTTACCAGATGCTCTATGTGAGCATCTGCCAGCCTCGGGTGGCTTATGATCTGTCTTCTCCTCCTGCAGCAGCTCTTGTTTTGAGTTCTGCCTTTTGTTGGGGGGAAATAAAGATGTCCTGGTTCTGGTAGATCTGGGATTTGAAGCCTCCCCTTCCTCCTCCTCTGGCTTCACCCAGGTTTTTGTGTTCCCCTGGTGAAGCTGCCCAAGGGAGCCCTGTGGGATCCCCCCACCAGCCCCAGCCTCTCCAGCCGTGTCCTGCCGGTGCAGCCCCTCGGAGCAGATTCCTCTGGGTCCTCTGACACCAGTTTGGCCCAGTTCTTGCTCCCATGGGAGACGTGATCCCCAGGCAGCCAGGAGTGTGCTCACACCCCAGTGAGGCTGTGATAACACAAGGAGCTCGAGGTGAGGAGTGTTAATGAACCCCACGAGATGGTTTTGTCTAACGAGCCACCACAGCTGCGAGGTGCAGGGAGGGGTTGCTATAGAAACACTCAGAGATAAGGGCTCCTCCTGAAGCCCCTAAATGTGCAAACAAAGGGTAGGGGTAGGTGAGCAGGTGTCAGCATCTCGCTGTTGTGATGGCAGAAGGCAAAAGAAAAGAAGAAGTGCCTCCTGGTGTTAGGGGGTTTACCCCAGCCAAGGTAGGAGTGGTGCCAACGGGGCCCTCTTGCACCCTCCTGGGGCCCTGCTTTGCATCCCCTGTGCACCCCCTGAGCATCCCGGGGGTCCCTGTGGGGGCACAAAGGCCACGTGGCTGCTCCTGCCAGGAGAGGGGAGGTGACCTAAAACAGAGTGAGTTCCCAGTGCTGTCCCCTTGCCTGCAGCATCACTGTACTCACCCCTCCAGCACCAACATCTCCCAAAGGGCATGAGGCTCCTGCCTGGCTGTGGGGAGAGCTGGAATGTGGGGATGTGCATGGCAGGGGCCCAGGATAGCAAAGTCCAGAGCTCCCAGCAGAGAGTTTGGGGCAGGAGGTGGCGAGCAACATTGTGGGGGTTCCAGAATGTGCTGGGGAAGAAGCAGGTCTGTAGGAGGGGTCTGACATCACTGCCCCAGTGGAGCTGTGCATGGGACGGGGAAGAGGTGCAATTGTGTCCCTGGTGTCCCCAGCATCCCTGGTGTTCTCAGCCTTGGCATTTACAACTCTCGAAGGACTGGGGTCAAGAGCACACGAGGGGTTCTGCTCTTTCCTTTCCAGGCGTGGCTGGACCCGGAGCTCTATGCCACAGCTGCCACGGCCCCGCTCCTCACTCCCCGTCTCGTTTCCCCAGGATTTTCATCCCCAAGAAGCACCGGCAACGCTTTGACGAGGTGGTGTCTCAGAGCCTGATCAGCAAACTGTGCCGCTCCAAGAGCGAGCAGCACAGCAACCGCCTGCGCCGCAGCCGCAGCGAGGACCACCAGGAGCGGCTGCTCGTGTCCACCCGCGCCAGCTCCGTGCCCCGCAGCCACGAGGAGCTCAGCAAGAGCCTGCGCAAGAGCACCTCCCTCGTCACCAGCAGTGTGGCCTCGGGGGCTGCCCGCAGGTAACACCTCTCCTGGGAGCCCCCCGGGGTCGTGGCAGCACCGCCTGCTTCGGTGTGGAGGGCAGCACGGGGGAGGGATGCCAGGGAAAGGGAGGGGCACGAGGAAAGGGGATGTGTTCCCTGTGAAACCCTCCTGGGATCGGGGTGAACAAACACCCCTCCCTCTCAAAGTCTGGGCAGGTTTGTGCCCCGCCCTGGCTCTGGGACAGCTTTGGGTCCCCTCAGCGTTGCAAGGTTGGCTGGGATGAGCTGAGGTGGCACTAGCAGGCTGAGAGGAGGTGTTGGCTCCTTGCTGGGTGGGCTGCAGGGTGCCCAGCTGTGCCAGCAGGATCCAGGGTGCCCAGCTGTGCCAGTGGGGTGCAGGGTACCCAAGCAGAGAGCAGGCTGACAGGAGGGTGTAGCCAGGTGGGGGTCAGCCTGTTTTCCCAGATAACGAGTGACAGGATGAGCAGAAATGGTCTCAAGTTGCTAGGGGAGGTTTAGATTGGATATTAGGGAAAACTTCTTCACAGAAAGGATTGTCAACCCCTGGCTCAGGCTGCCCAGGGCAGTGGTGGAGTCCCCATCACTGGAAGTGTTCAAAAACCATGTGGATGTGGCACTAGAGGACATGGGTTAGTGGTGAATGTGGTGGTGGTGCTGGTTGATGGTTGCATTTGATAATCTTAAAGGTCTTTTCAAACCTTAACAATTCCATGATTCTGTGAGTCTATGACTGGTCCTGCCCTGCCCCAGCAAGTGTCTGGGCGTGAGGCCGTGGGAGGAAGGACGGACAATCCCTGGAGCACAGGGATTAACCCACTTCCCGTGCCCATATGGCCAGACCTCAGCAGCCTTGGAGGGTGCAGAGCCCTGGCCGTGGCTCCTGCTCTGATCCAGCTCCGTCTCACCAACAAGAGAGCAGGATCTGGGCAATCCAGGGTGTCTGGCTCCAGCTCGCCTTCCTGCCAGGATAATTTCCATGTGACTTGTCCAAAACCCATTTCCAGCACAGTCTCCCTCCCTGCCAGCACAGGATCTTGCTGGTAATGCTGCCTTCCCCCAGCTCCCTGCAGGAACAACTCCCTGCTCCAATCAGCCTCCCAGCAGGGAGATTTCCCAGTGCTCCTTCCAAAATTTCCTAGAGGAATTTAATTCCTCTCTCATCAACCTATGAGACCTTTGCTCCCTAAACCACATTGTCCTTCTAATTCTGTGTAATAAAGAATCACAGACTGGATATATATACACATATATCTCTCCTTTAAATAGATGTATATTTAGCCCACATTCCACTTTAAAACAACGTTTGAAAGACTTTGGTACCAAAGGGGACCTTGTGGGGACACTGGGAATGTTGGGGACTTGAGCACTCAGGAGATACCTGGGCTAACAGGGTTGTGGAGGGGCTGGGGAAGGAAACAAGGGCCAAATCTTGGACTCTCATGTCCCATTTGCTTTTTTTGTCCTGCAGAACCGTGCGAGTTTATAAAGGCAACAGGAGCTTTGGCTTCACACTCCGTGGCCATGCCCCAGTGTGGATCGAGTCTGTCCTGCCAGGTAAGAACAGTTCCAGCCATGAGATTCAAAATCACTTATTGATCCCAGCTCTGAACTTGAAATGTGAAGTGCTGTTTGCTAGAAAAGAGCAAAAAGGACTTTTCCAAGGCTCCGTGATGGAGTTTTCCCAGAGGAATAATGAGCATCTTTGATACAATTTAGTTTGGCTTCATCCACTCCTCGTTTTGAAAAGTGGAAAGTGTGTGTTCAGTGAATGTCCTGACGTGACACCAGTGTTCCCAGTGCAGGCTGGGTGCTGGCACCCAGCTGGGTGAAGGGTCCCAGGACACCCAGCAGCAGTGGGTGCCCTGCCTGGGGTGTCCTGGGCATGGCTGGGGAGCTGGGACCCCATCCCAAGTAGGTGCCACCAGCTGAAGCCCCTCCTGTCCCTGTGTGTTTAGGGAGCCCAGCAGAGAAGGCTGCTCTCAAAGCTGGAGACAGGATCCTGTTCCTCAACGGTCTGGACATGAGGTGAGAGCTCTGCAGGCCCCCTGTGTGAGGGGCTGGGCTGGCAGGGGCTGAGCACACGTGTGGGGTCACTCCTGTGCCCCAGAAACGAGAGCTGCTGGGCCTGGAGAGGTGTCTGCTCTGGTGCACGAGGGGTTTTGCCCCATGGGGACATTTCCTTTAATATTCTTTTACCAAATCTTGCTCCAAGAGTAGCATTTCTCTCCATCCCTGCTCCTCCTCTGATTTCTCTGTGCAAATAATGATGCAGGACAGTCTATATAACTGGGGTCCTGACTGCAGCCCAACCCTAGACCCCAATTTGAGCCTCTCTGAGTTAATCTGTATGTGTTAAACACCTGCTTTAGAAAGCAGCAGAGCACCATTCAGCCCATGAATCACTCCCAGGATGGGATCATAAGCTTAAAGCCACATGGGAATCACATTTTCACCCAGAAGTTTATTCTTCTGTATATTATTTGTGCACCAAAGCAATGGAACCAGAGGGGCCCTCACCAGCTCAGGGCAGCAGCCCCTGTGTCCTTGGTTGGTCTTTCTACACAAAAACCAAGAGCAAAGGGTTAGAGGAGGCTATAGGATAAGAGAGAGTGATGAATATTTAAAGGTTAAACATCTGATGCTGCTTCTGTCAGGGCTCAGGTTCTCACGTTTCAGCTGATCCAGCAAACTGTTGGCTGATGCAGCATTGCCAGAAAATAGAGGAGATGAGTTGAGGGTTGTCCTCTGAGCCTGTTTTGGCAGTCATTGTCCCAGCCCAGCCCATACCCTTCTCCAAGGGCAGACCAAGATTTTTTTGCCTACAAAATTACACTTTATATTCACCTTGCATTTTCTTATCGTGTGGAATTAGGACAGGCAAGGAGAGACCCGCAGCACTGTGTCACTTAAAGGAAAATTCATTTTCTGGGTCTGGGTGTAGCTGAACACTGGCTTCATGTGCCATGAGCTCCACAGGAATCCCTGTGGTTATTCCTTGGGGCAGGTAGAGTGGGGAGACCACTCCTGGGGCACGATCCAGGCTCTCTCTCTCTTGGAAGCTCCTTCCTGTGCAGCTCAGGTAAAAGCAAGCAAAGACTGAGAGAAACCAGGGGAATCACAGCAGGTCCCAAACATGGCTCTGAGCAGCACGAGGAGGCTTTTCCAAGAGAAATGAAGGCAGCTGCAAGCTCCTTCTCCCTGCTGCTCTCCTGGGAGTGCTGCCCACAGTGCTGCCCACGGGGACAGGCGGCACTGACCCGGCTCTGCTGTGCCCGCAGGAACTGCTCCCATGACAAGGTGGTGTCGATGCTGCAGGGCAGTGGGGCAATGCCCACCTTGGTGGTGGAAGAGGGGATCGTCAACATCTCCAATGGTAAGAGTGGGGAGGAGGGTCTGGAGCGGCAGAAAGCCCACAGCAGCTCCTCAGCTCCCGGTGCAGGAGGGAATTGCTGAGCACCTCCACAGGCTCAGCAGGTTTCAGGCGCTGCCTGGGGGATGCTCCTCTCCCCAGGGCACACAGCCCTTGCTTTCTGGGATCAGGCTGGATCTCAGGCTTGGCTGCTCTCCAGGAGGGCTCATCCTGCTGTGTGATTGTCCTTGGTGTCCCCTGCCAATGTCCTCTCTGTGCAGTCTGTGCCGTGTACTTGGCCGCAGTAACCCAACCCTGTGCATCCATGGTGGCTGCGCAATCCCATGGCTGTGGATGGGCTGTGCTCTGCAGGATAATTATCCTGCTGCTGGGATCAATAATTTACTCGCTGCTGGTGAGGAGTCAGCAGGAGCTGAGGGTGTCTGGGGCAGTGGGTGGTGTCAGCAGGACCCCAGCCCAGGGCACAGCGTGGGCACTGCTGCGGTTCCAGAGCCGTGTGGAGGCAGGAGGGTCACTGTGTCGTTGGGGTGCTGCTCCACAATGAAGGGACCCAGGAATTAGGGACTGGCTCTTCCCTCTGGAGCAGCAGTGGACTGCCCTTAGTCCCACATTAGGAGCCTTGGGATGCCAACTTGTTTGCATGTGTGCCAGAAACAAAACCCAGCAGCTCGCTGCTTCATATAACCACAGAATCCCAGAATGGTTCGGATTGGAAGGGACCTTAAGGATAATCTCATTCCACCCCATTGCCATAGGCAGGGACACCTTCCACTAGACCAGCTTGCTCCAAACCCCATCCAATCTGACCTCCTTCAGAGTACAGAGCCAGTGGCACTCAAACTGTTCCACTGCCCTCAAAAGAAACCAAGAAAAGATGGAATTTTTTTTTGCAGACTCTGACTCTCCTGAGTCCCCGAGCAGCTCCTCCTCCCTCACCTCCCTGCAGTGGGTTGCAGAGATTCTCCCCTCTAGCATCAAGATTCAAGGAAGGACCTTCACGCAGCAGCTGGAGCACCTGCTGACCCCACCCGAGCGTTACACCATCTGCAAGGCGCTGGAAGGCTTCTTCCAACACCGGTAACTCCATGGCAGCTCCACTCCTCCCGTGCTGGTGCCCAGCCTGTGGCAGTGCCCGGCCCGAGCTGGTGTCAGCAGAGGCAGAGCTGGCTGGGGGTCAGTCACAGCGAGCTCTGCTGTCCCCAGCTGGGTGTTCCCTGGTGTGTATCCACAGGGCACGAGCCCGTCTCTGTCCAGTGTCCCACCTGAGGGCAGGGCAGACCCTTCAGCTTTTCAGGTTAATTCTGTCACCCCTGATCCCTTGGTCCCCCCAGTGCAGGCTCTCTTGTTGTCCAGCTGTCCCTGACAGCCACAGATCCTGTTCCACCTCTTCCAGTAAATCTCTCCACGTTCATCTTTGTCTTCTCACTCTTCTCAGCATCTCAGCTGCAGCATTCCCTTGGTGGCAGCACGGGAATGGCTGTGGCTGCAGAGCCCTTGTCCTGCCATGGAGCTCATGCCCCCTGTCCTGCTGCAGGGATCCAAACTGATCCCCTGGCACACTCTGGATTTCAACAGTGACCTTGTTTCCTGCTCTTGCTTGGTCTTCCAGCAGTGTTTTACTGAGGTCTGTCACAAAATCATGGAATGATTTGGATTGGAGGAGATCTTAAAGGTCTTCCAGTCCCACCCCCTGCCATGGGCAGGGACACCTCCCACTAGCCCAGGTTGCTCCAAGCCCCGTCCAACCTGGCCTTGGACACTTCCAGGGATGGGGCAGCCACAGCTTCTCTGGGCAACCTGTGCCAGGGCTTCCCCACCCTCACAGGGGAGGAATTTCTTCCTGTTGTAGGCTGTTCTATCCTCCTCCCTGGATCAGGTGCTCAGCCCTGCTATTCCCAACAGCCCTTTCCCCATCTTTACACACCATAGAGCCAAAATGAGATTAAAATCTTCAGCCATGGGAGGCTGCCAGCCCAGCCACCCTCCCTGGTGCATTTGCCCCTCAGCCTGCTTACCTGCTGCTCGTCAAAATTCAGGTCTTTCCAGGGTTTCTCTCTGCTTTCTGGTGCTTCCTCACCCTTCTTACTCAGAGGATAATGGAATTGCCTAGGCTGGAAAAGCCCTCTGAGCCCATCGAGTCCAACCATTCCCCCAGCACTGCCATGGCCACCACTAACCCATGTCCCCAAGTGCCACATCCACATGGCTTTTAACCCCTGCACCTCTGCTGTGGAACCATCGGTTCGTGCTGGAGGCTCCGAGGTGATCCCGCAGCCCAGATCCCGGTGCAGGCGGGCTGGGAGGCGCCGGAGCCCCCGGAAGTGGCGTGGGGGGACCGTGCCCTGGGGATGCACTCCCTGCCCAGCCCTCTCTCTCCCGTTCTGCAGGAACATTGACACTCTCATTGTGGATGTGTACCCGGTGCTGGACACACCGGCCAAGCAAGTCATCTGGCAGTTTATCTACCAGCTGCTGACGTACGAGGAGCAGGAGCACTGCCAGCAAAAGATTGACAGGTTTCTTGGGTACAAGTCCTTGGCAGGTGAGAGGAAAGTCCTTGTGCTCCGAGACGGACACGCCGTGTCCCCCCATGTCCCATTGCACTGGGAGTCGTGTGGTGTTGGAATGAAACTCTGCACTGAGAGGAGGGATGGCACCTGAGAGGGTGTCTCTGGGAGCAAAGGCTTTTGGAAGCTGCTCGGGTCGTTAGAGGTGAGGAAGTCCAGGAAGGGAGTATCTGGTTTAAGGGCAGTGTTCAGAGCAGAGAGGTAAAATAAGTGGTGGCACAATGTCCCTGGGGATGTTCCCAGCAGTCACACAGGCATCCGTGGTTGGAGGAGGTGAGGAGTGAGGTGCTACTCTCCCAAAAAGACATGGAGGGCAGTTGGTGATCCCCCTTCTCCCTGGTCCTCCTGTCCCGTCACCATCACCTGATTCTGTGGCAGCACAAACCTGGCAGCAGTTTGTTTGCTGAGGGCAAATTTGTAGTGAAATGTCTAATCTGTGCATTTGGGCCCTTAATTGCTTCCAAATTCTTCTGCTCTCAGCTGTTTAAATTGATGTGTTCATTTTAGACTCAGTGAAGGTAAAAGAGATGTTGCTTGAAGAGAGACTTTTGGAGGAACACAGTTATTTTAGCAGTAAACACCTCCAAGTCCTGGTGCAATCCTGCCTGTTGTGCATGGAATGCTGTGCTCCTGCACCCTGGGTTTGCACTCTCAGACACCTCTGCTTTGTGTGTGCAGAACCATGGCTCAGCCTGCATGAGGGGCTGTAGATTCCCAAGGATTTATTAGTGTATAAACGAAGAAGTTTGCAGCTGTATTTCAGGAATACAGACCAGGTATCCACGGCCAGGGGAGGAGGGAAGCATGGGAGTAAGTCTCTCTGTCCCAGACTGTTTCAGGCTGGAATTGTTCCCAGTTCCAGGCTGGTCCCTGGCCCCTCCCAGTTTCTCAGGTGAACGGGGCAGTCTCTGACCATGAGAAGTTCTGATTGTTCTGGTCCATTCTGTGTGTCTGTGCATGGAAGTGCACTGCCAGAGATCTCTGAATTGGGCTGGTCCTTCTCCCGGGCTCCCAAACTCCGGCGATCTCTGGTGTCTGTGCCAGGCTGTCCAAGCCCTGCTCTGTCGGGTCCCTCGGAGATGCTCCTGTACCTCCATCCTGCTGCAAGCCTGAGCCTCCCCGAGCTGCCACCCTGAACTGCACGTGGACAAGGCACACACAGCGTGCGGCAGCATTCCAGTGCTGGCCCCACTTCCCTCTTGTTCCGTGAGGACAGGAAGGAGTTTGCTGGGACCAGCTGGAGTTTTGTGTGCCCCATGAGCTGGTCAATGCCAATCTTGCTGGAAAAAGTGGTTGGATGTCCCATCTCTGGGCATCCATCCCTGCCCTGTGCTGGCAGGAGCGTCTGGAACCTGCTCAGCTCCCCGGGGATGGTGTAGGATGGAGGGAGTGGGTACCAGGAGATGGCAGCCCCTGGTCCCATGGGCCTGGGGGGCCCTGTGCTGTGGTGAGAGGGACAGGGGAGCTGTGGGGTCTGGCCCTGCCTTACAGAGGTGTCTCCTGCTGCAGCCGAGGCAGAGGTGGAGGATCGGTTCCGCAGCTCCGTCCGAGGGGCCTCCCTGTGCCGGGGCAGCCTCCGGACCCCCCGCCCCGAGGAAGGGGGGGCAGCAGGTGGGTGATGGGGGTGTGGGGAGGAGGGGGCTGGGATGGGGGGGTTGTGCCTAGAGTGTCCTTCTGCTCTGCCCTAAGCCAAAAGCCTGAACTATTCCTAAGCTTGAACGGTGGGAAAAGATGGAGGAAAGGATTGAGGTCAGAGTAGAGCCAGCACTGAGGCTTTGACTGGAAATCCATGTTTTCAGAAACAGTTAGAATCATAGAATAATTAAGGTTGGAAAAGAGCTCCAAGATTATCAAGTCCAACCTTTGACCAATCACCACCTTGTCAGCTAGAGCAGAGCTCTGAGCACCACGTCCAGTCATTTCCTGAACACCTCCAGGGACAGCGATTCCACATTGAAATAACCCGAAATAATCAATTGAATAAGATGGGGCTTGGTCTGAGGCTGAACATTGTTTCCAGTCCCTTCCATTGCTTGGATGTGAACTTGTCCTGCTGGTCTGAGCCCTCCCTTCTGGAGGACACAGTTTAAAGCTTCCCTGTGAACATTCTCAGACCCCATCAAATTCACAGGGAAACCAGCATTTGTGAAATCCCTGTGAGGAATAAGATCATGGTTCAGGGCTGCTTTGAGACTCTTGATTAACCACATTCAGGGCACAAACCCTCCCTCCCTTCAGAGGACACGGCATCCTGCCTATCCCCCATCTCTCTTGGCTGATGGCAAAGGGCCCTTGGTCTGTGCTCACGGCTTCTGACCACGACCTCCCCACCACGACCTCCCCATGACCTCCCTGCCAGGACCTCCTGGCCATGTGGTGTTCCTCAGCTGTCAGGGGGGTCTGAGACATTTCCCGGGGGAGATATTCCAACCTGAGGAGCCTTTCTGGTCGGGATTAGAGCTCGGAGAGCGTCTGACAGCTGTGTGTGCTGGAGGGAAGCTGCTTGGCTGGGCAGATGTTCACCAGCTGTGGGGAGCAGCCCTGTCCTCAGCTGCCCCGAGGGAAGGGCAGAGCAGGCTGGAACTGCAGTGCTGACCTTGGGCCCACCCGCGCCGGTCCCTCGGGACCCCCAGAGGCGGCAGCTGGGGCAGGGAGGTCACTCCGGGTCCCAGTAGGAGACAGGGGGACTTCGACAGGCCAGGGCTGTGGGGAGGGGGGGGCATAGGCAGAGGAGTGACTGGTTTGCCTCTTCCTTCCCCAGGCAGTGACACCGTGGAGGTCCCAGTTCGCCTGATCCCTGGAGAGAGACAGGCTGGTGATGGCACATCCCTCCCGGAGACACCCAACCCCAAAATGGTGTGATGGGGGGGGGAATCTGGGGAGAGCTTTGCTGGTGTGTTGGGACTGTTACATCCATGGGGAGGGCCAGCAGTTTGATTCCGTTACTGTTAACACAGGAAAGCGGGAATGGGGAAGGATGTGGGTAAATACCTGCTGTTGGCTGACAGTGTCCCTGCCTTGGAGCTCATCTCTGAGGTCATTTCCCTGGGCAATTAGTCACCTTTAATGAGGCTGGTGTCTGCCTTATTAACAGACAGTTGATTAATGAACAGTGAAGGTGTTCAGAAAAGCCAGAGTAGCCTCGGCTGGGGTGAAACCCCCCTTGAAAGAGTAAGAGAGGGGGACTGGTGAGTCCGTGGGGGCTGTCCTGTCCTCAGGACACTGCAGGTCTCTGGGGGTCCACAAGCCCTGTCTCGATTCAGGCACGGCAGCAGCTCTCTGCCCTTTCCCAGATGTCGGCTGTGTACGCAGAGCTGGAGAACCGCCTGATCGGCGGCTTTGCCGGCAAGGTGGGAAACGCTGCCCTGCACAGGACATCGCCCCCGGCCCCCGAGCGGGCACCGGCCGCAGGTACCTCCGGCTGCCCACGGCGGGACAGGGGCGCTCTGGGGAGGTGATGGTGGGTGCTGCTGTCCAGGCATGTGGAGAAGACAACTCTTGGCACCTCTCGGTGCCCTTTCCTAATGGAGCAGTGACAGTGCCACGTGTAAGCGCAGTGCCGGCTCCTGCAGAGCCGCAGCTGCGGGAGGGCAGCGGGGTGGGTGGGGTGGTGAATCCTGTGGGATTCCGGAGTGCTGCTGTGCAGCGCAGGGCACTGCCCGCGGAGGTTCCCTCTCCCCCTCCCTCTCCCTCTCCTCACATTCCGTCGGGGCAGGGGCTCGTTGCACCCGGGGGCTGCAGGGCCGCCGTGCAGGACCCTCGGCAGCGCTCTGTCCCGCAGGAGCTCGCCGGCCGGGCATGGGGCTGTCGTGGCCGAGCGAGCCGCTGGGCTCCCAGCAGTGCTACTACCGCCTGCACAGCAGCGTGGCCTCCCCGTGCAGCACCGAGTCCAACCCCTACGTGAGCCTCGACAGCAGCCCGGCCCCGTCCCCCAAGCACCGCCACTACTCGCTCAGCCCTCTGTCGCGACGGAAGAAGCTCTTCACCTTCTCCAGGCCCCCCCGCAGCCGCGACACGGATCGGTTCCTGGACGCCCTCAGTGAGCAGCTGGGACATCGCGTCACCATCGTGGATGATTTCCTCACTCCCGAGAATGACTACGAGGAGGTGAGCGCGGCACGGGGCGTTCGGGGCGTGGGCTTTGATCGTGCGGCTTCTGGGGACGCGTCCTGGGGCTCTGCGGGTGGCAGAGGGGGGCAGGACACCCCGCGGGCCGGGTGGATGGAGGATGAGGTGCCACCTCCAGCCTCTCCTCTCTCCCTCGCCCAGATGAGTTTCCAGGATGACCAGGGCAGCTATGTCACCAACGACGTCAGCAGCAGCGAGTACATCAGCAGCAGCGACGAGGGCAGCTCCCTGACCTACTCCACGCTCTCGGACCACATCCCCCCCCCGCCGCTCAGCCCCCCGCCGCCGCCGCCCCCCCTGCAGTTCCACGACCCCCAGACCGTCCCCACCAAGGCGGAGGCCGCGAAGGCCAGCGCGTCACCCGCCCCCAAATCCCTCGTCAGCCACCTGCACCCCATCCCGCCCCCGCCGCCCCCCCCGCCGCCCCCCCCGGTGCCCTGTGCCCCCCCCTTGCACCGGGGGCTGCTGCACCGCCGCAGCGAGTCCAACCACATGAGCGTCAAGAGGCTGCGCTGGGAGCAGGTGGAGAACTCGGAAGGGACCATCTGGGGACAGGTACGGCCCGGGGGCGGGGCGGGGGTGGGGGTCCCAACCGTGCTCTGGGGTTGGTTACCTGTGCCGGGCTGTGCGGGCCTTCTTTTCATCCTTTGAATTGTTTGGACTGAACTGCCGGGCTGGGCAGAGGCCCTGGAAAGGCTGCAGTGTCCTGGGGAGCACGTGCTGTCCTGCCCTCGGGGGCTGACAGGGTCAGGAGCTGCCTTCAGAGGGGTTCTGCAGCTGTGGGAGGTTTTATCAGTGGGAAGCAATGAAGATGGTTGGAGCAGAGTGATGGGAGAACACTGGAGGGGGGAAGGAGAGATGAAGGGTGAGACAAAACGTGACAATCCTTTGGCACCGTGGACTTGAAGTGGTGCAGAACTGGCTTCGCTGGGCTTTACCTCCCAGCCTGTGTCTCTCCTGATGTTCAGCACATGCTGTATTTTCCGTGCCCTGAGCAGCAAGGGGGAAGCTGTGGGATCATCTTCCAGTCCCACAGGCACTTGAAATCTTGCAGATCCCTCTCTCTGTCACTCCAGAGAGAAAGATGCTTTTCCCAGTGATTTTTATTTTTTAAGCAAAAAGTTCCTGAAGTTTCTGGAATTCTCATTTTATCCATCAGTGCCCAAGTAGCAAGTGAAGGCAGAGATTCTCTGCAGGATTTCAGCTGTCAGGAGTCAATCTGCATGGCAGTGACCAAGTCTTCAGTCACAGGACGATGCCAGCACCCTGTCCTGTTTTTTTCTGGGGACACAGAGCTTGGTCTGGAGGACAGGGAATGGACCCAGCACAGGCAGGCACTGTCAGGCTGTTGCCTGTGCCAGCACAGCTCCTGACTCTTCCTCCTCCTGCAGCTTGGGGAAGACTCGGATTATGACAAGCTGAGTGATATGGTCAAATACCTCGACCTGGAGCTGCACTTTGGGACACAGAAGCCCACGAGTAAGTGCCTGAGCCCCAAAATAGGTCCTGGTACCAGCCAGAGACCAGGGAGTTGGGGGGAGCTGGGAGGAACTGGGGCCTGATGGGCAGCAAGGCAATGCCTTGTCTGTGACATCATACATGACATGAATTTGTTCATACTCAGGATTTTGTGGCTGGTGGCACAGTGGATCATTAAGAAAGAGATGGTTTCATTCTCTCTCTTAATTGTCTTTGCTGCCATGACCTGTTTTCTCTCCACGTTTCATTGGGCAGTGAAACTCGGCTGCAGGGTTTCACCAACTGCAGCTCCGGTTGAAAAAGCTGAAAAAGCCATGAAATCATCAGCAGCACTTTTCTTTTTACACACATAGTCTGTTGATTTCCCCAAGAGCTGTGATGGGCACTGGAGCTCCCTGCCTGTCAGCCCCCCTTTGCTCTGGCACTGGGGTCCCCTGAAGCCCCACCAACTGGGTTATCCCACCCCCGGAGTTTCTGGGTGCCACAAACCCAGAGAGGGAGTCCAGGCTGGAGGTGCAGAGTGGTGGTGGCTGGGGTAACATTCCAGTGGGGTGTCTGAGCCCTCCTGCAAGGGACACTGTGCCCAGCTGCCAGTGGAGGTGGGATAAAATGGGATTCTTCTCAGGGAACACCTTTTTGGGGATGTTTTTGGGCAGTCTGGGATTTTCTGCGTGTTTCACCTCTCGTTTTACCTTTTTCAGCTCCAACTGAGTCCTCCATTGAGGAGATCTTTGAATCACAGAATTCAAGGATTCCGGAGCCACTGCTGTGTGCAAAGCATCAGTTCTCCTCTCTTTCATTCATGGTTTCATTGCTTTCAGGACAGTTTTCTTCCTGCTGGAGCCGGCTGAGCCTGTCCTTACCCGTGATTAAATCTTTCAGTTTCTCTTCCAGAGCCAACTCTCTTGCCTGAAAACTTTAAAAAGAAAGACGTGGTTGAAATTTTGTCCCACAAAAAGGCCTACAACACATGTAAGTAAACTCCAGAGGGAAGGTACCCCCAAAACAGGCCAGGTGGGACCAGGGATGTAGAGAACTGGAAAGGTAAAGGGAAGGAGGCTACATGAGCACAGTCCCATGGGCACAATTCCATGGGCACAATCCCATGGACATGATCACATGAGCACAATTCCACGGGCACAATCCCATGGACATGATCCCATGAGCACAATTCCACGAGCACAGCTTGGCTGGGATGGACTTTTCCTGCAGCCCAGAGCTCCTCCAGACTGGGTTCAGCACCATTAAGGGGAAGAAGTCGCCTTTATGGGAAAGGCTGGAGATGGGATGTGACTCACTGGCTGGGGAGGGAGGGGGCAGAGCCTGCATGGCCCCCTGGGGTGAAGTGGGGCAGTGCTGCTTCTCCAGGATGTGCTTTTGGTAGGAAGGAGGGTGAGAGTGCTGGGTGGGACCTACAAGACCCCGATTCCCTGATCCCCTGATCCCGTGGCTGTGGGGAAGGTGGGAGTGGGGGTTGTTTCCAGTGCAGCCCACCCTGACTGTGTGGGTGATGCAGTGCCCTGGAGGGGCCTGCAGGACCAGAGTGGCTTTTAAGGTCCCCTTGCAGCCTCTGCAGGGCTGTGGCAGCAGAAAGCCCTTCCTGTCCCAGTGGGCACGTGGAGAAGGCCACCACCCTCACAGGGTGGAGGGACCGAGTTCACCTCCTGTCCCAGTCCTGCCAGGCGGTCTGTCCCTGGCACAGCCAGCCCGGGGCAGGGGTCCCGCGCTCCTCCCCTCCCCAGTGACGTGCCTCCCTTGCCCCCAGCCATCCTGATAGCCCACCTCAAGCTGTCGCACATCGAGCTGCGCCAGATCCTCATGACGATGGAGACGGACCGGCTGGAGCCCTCCCACATCAAGCAGCTGCTGCTCTACGCGCCGGACGGGGAGGAGGTGCAGCGCTTCCAGAGCTACAAGGAGAACCCCGGCAAGCTGAGCGAGCCCGACCAGTTTGTGCTGCAGGTACCTGCGGGCAGGGACGTGCTGCGGGAGCGGGGGGGCTGCGTGTGCCGTGTCCCCTGTCAGCAGGACACCGGGCACGGGGGGACGGGAGGAGCTGGTGGCACTGGTCACTGTGACCGCGGGGCAGAGGTGCTCAGGGTGATGCCTGAGGGGTTTGGCAGCTCCCGTGAGGGCTGGTTTGGAACTGAAGAGTTACCCCCACGTTTGCTCCCTGGTGAGAGTGACTTCGCCCAGCTCTGATTTACTTTCTATTGCCAAAGTCACTCATGGATGTGGGTGTGAAACTCCCCATCCCGTGGCAGCAAACTGGCCCAGCTGCTCCACGTGTCACCTGTGCCAAGCAAGTGCATCCTGCTTCCATGTACAGGGCAACATGCCAGGAAAAGCACCGTGTAGGAGGGATTCTGGCTAATGGGGACGGTCCCTTTCTGCTCCTTTTGCTCCCAGATGCTGTCAGTACCCGAGTACAAGATCCGCCTGCGCAGCCTGCACTTCAAGACCACCCTGCAGGAGAAGACAGAGGAGATCAAAGCCAGCTACGAGTGCATCTGCAAGGCCTCCCTAGAGCTGAAAAGCAGCAAGAAGCTGGCAAAAATCCTGGAGGTCAAAGCAGTCCTTCCTTCCTGAAACAGTCACTATGGGCCCTCAGCACCCCACAGGAGCACCCCTGGGCAGCTGCAGGGCAGCTCCAGCCTTGGGCCCCTCCAGGACCAGCTGGGCCAGGGTCCATCCCCTGGTGTTGGCTTGTGGGGGTCCTGGCCTCAGGAGGATGTGGGAGGGCGGATCACCGATGGCCACACACCCACCTCCAGCACAGGCAGGGCTGCAGGAGCCAGAAACGTGCCAGGCAGGGCCACAGCAGAGCCCACTGAGGCTGTCCTGGGCTGTCTTGGGGCTGGAGGATGTTTTGGGTCTGTCCCAGCAGTCGCTGTGTGTGTCCCCACACTTGGGCAGCACTTCAGACAGGTCCCTGGGGATGGCCAGGGCTTGTGCCAGCCCTGCTGTGGTGTGGGCAGGGTCCCCACAGGTGATTTTGGCATCCTGGGACAGGCTGTGCCTGGCAGAGAGAGAACATATCCCACTGTAGCTCGTCCTTGACCCTCCTGAGACGAGCTGCCCCAAATTACTGTCATTAAGTAATTCATTTGGTTTTGCCTTTAAAAAAAGCAGGTGGGATAAATGAGGTCACCATGTGACCAAATGCATTTCCAGAGGAGAGATGAATCTCCTTAGTGGCTCCTGGCCAGTAACCCCCCAACAATTCCTTAAATCCTTGGGGGCAGTGGCTGTCTGCACATTAATGGGTGGCGAACAGGAATTCAGAGCCCCAGGAGCTGAGAAATGGGATGATAGAGGTGCAGGAGGTCACCAGCCCCTCATTCCCTGGTTTTCTCTTTGCAGTTCGTGCTGGCAATGGGAAACTACCTGAACAACGGGCAGCCCAAGACCAGCAAAACAACAGGCTTTAAAATCAACTTCCTCACCGAGGTGAGGCAGGGCAGGCTCCTCCTGGGCAGGAGGCACTGCCACTGGGAGCTCCGAGTGCCCCGTGCAGCAAACCTGTCCTCCCAAAGGACCCTGGGTGCAGTGGCTGCCAGAGGGGGGACAGGGGAGGCAGCTGGATTGACCCTTAGGGGTGACTTCAGAGAGACCCTTATGGGGCTTTGATGCTTCGGTGTGTTGGGGAATCCAACCTCAGGCTGGCCAGAGCCCACAGCTGTGGGGTGGGAGAAGGAGGTTTTCATCCCACGTGGGTTGTGGTGGGAACCCTGAGGGATGGGGGACAGGGGGGCAGCCCTGCCCTGTGGGAGGGAGCATCTCCACGCTGCTGTGTGAACATTAAATGTGCCATTTAACCATTAACCACGTGGTGTGGCCGGGCACTGCCGTGCACGTGAGCGGGGTGAGCCGGGACCCCGAGGGAGGGACACCCCGAGTGTGTGGGGAGACCCACCCCCTGTGCAGGGGCACCTCCTCACTGCTTCTGCTTTGCTGCAGCTGAACACGACCAAGACTGTTGATGGGAAATCCACCTTCCTGCACATTCTTGCCAAATCCCTTAGCCAACACTTCCCAGAGCTCCTGGGCTTTGCCAAGGATCTTCCGACAGTGCCGCTCGCTGCCAAAGGTAAAGGAAGAGAAGCACCTGCAAGCCCCGTGTCCCCTTGCACTGCCTCGGGGTTTGGTTTGGGTCTGGGGTCAGCCATGAGCTGCACAGCGTTGGCATGAGCAGGATGGGAGCCAAAACAAGTGAGGAATAGTCCTGAGAGGACAGGGTAGGGACCTGCTTCATGGAAAGGGCTGTCCAGCCCGGGCACAGCTGCCCAGGGCAGTGGTGGAGTCCCCATCCCTGGGGGCATTTAAAAGCTATGTAGATGTGGCACTTGGGGACATGGGTTAGTGGTGGCCTTGGCAGTGCTGGGGGAACAGTTGGACTGGATGACCTTAGAGGGCTTTTCCAAACTAAATGATTCCACAATTCTCTGAATTAAATAATGCTGTGAATCTCTGCAAAGCACAAGCTGCATTCCTGTTGCACACCATTCCCTGCTGTTTGTGAGCAATTCCCTTGGGAATTAGTGCTACAGTGGATAAATAAAGGAGCAAGTTCAGGCCTGGAACAGGACACTTCCACTTGAGGAAGGTCTGTACCTGTAGCTTTCCCAGCTGGAGTTTGTATCTGGCTAACTGTTAAATGACACTGCTGTCACTGGAGATTCCCAGCTCCTGCCACTGTATCACCCCTTGTCCTGTGTCCCCCTGTCCCCTCCCAAGTCCCTGTGTGTCCATCACTGTCCTCGTGCTGGTGAGTCCTACATGCTCCTTGTCCTTGGCACAGTCCAGGATCCTTTGAACATTCTTAGTATCCCTTGGTCTGAGCACCAACAGCTGCTGGCAACGTGCTGATCCCATCAGGACAGTCTGGCTGTGCCTGGACAGCACGGACAGGTTGTGCAGAGCCCTGCAGACACACAGCCCGACCCCCTGACCGACAGCCCACGCTCATTGTCCGTGCTCTGCCATGGGAATCAACCCAACCTGTGCCCCCAGCACTGCTGACTCCTGTCTTCTCCTGCAGTGAACCAGAGGACACTGACAGCCGACCTGAAGGACCTGCACACCACGGTCAGTGACATCCAGCTGGCCTGTCACAACATGCCGGCCACCGCGGAGGACAGATTCGCCATTGTCATGACTGTATCCTTCCGTCAGAGGGGCAGGTCACCAGGGTGGCTCAGTGCCCTCCAGTGAAACCATTCTGTTGTCTTTGTGGCTCCTTGGGAAGCACCCGGGCTGTGTCTGGCACCGTCTCAGTACTTGTGGAAAACTCCCTCATTCTCAGCCGGCAGGGAAACGGATTCTGTGGTGCCCACCGGCTCAGCTGCCCCTCTATGGCACAGCCCCAGTGCCAGGGAACGTGCCACGGTGCCAGGGAACGTGCTGGGTTGTCTGTCCCTCAGAGAAGCACCGTCAGGGACAGCTGAGCGTGCCAGCACCTCCAACACATGCGAGTGCAGCAGGTCCGTGCTGACACCTGAGCTGGAACCCAGCCACTGATAAGAGATTGATAAGTGATTCTGATCCATACCAGACCCATGGAACAGCTGTTTGTCCTTAAGCCGATTCCCTCAGTCCTTCCTGGAGAGTGCCCAGCCTGCCATGCGGTCTCTGGACGACCTGCAGCACAAGGCCATGGAAGAGTTCAGCAAGGTGTTGTCCTTTTTTGGGGAAGACTCGAAAATGACAACTTCTGAAGCTTTCTTTGGCATCTTTGCAGAATTCATGAGCAAGTTTGAGGTGAGCTGAACCTTTCAAAGCCAGCCTGGGGTCCCCTGTGAAGTGTCAGTGAGGTGTCTTACTTGGGTGTGAGCGGTGGGAACGAGATGGGGTTTTGTGAGCACCTATACCCGAGTGTCTGCAAGGGCAATTTTTATAACACTGATAAAGTGCAATTTTTCTAACATCCAAGTTGGCTGGCAGGGGTGGGAGGCTGAGGGAGGGCTGGTGGTCCAAGCACCAGCCCCAGGCAGGGTAATGAAGTTGATCACAGCGTCCCAGAACAGTTTGGTTTGAAACGGACCTTAAAGCCCATCCAGTGCCACCCCCTGCCACGGGCAGGGACACCTTCCACTAGCTCAGGTTGCTCCAAGCCCCGTCCAACCTGGCCTTGGACACTTGCAGGGATGGGGCAGCCACAGCTTCTCTGGGCAACCCGAGTGCCCTGAAACCTCCTCCCTACCCACAGCAGCTGCCCATGCCCCACACAGTCCCTCTCTCTCCCCACAGCCTGTGCCCCACACTCACCCTCTCCCTCTCTCCCCACAGCGGGCTCTCAGTGACGTGCAGGCGGGCGAGAGCCAGCGCAGCCCCAGGATGACCTCTCCCCTCGCCTGGTGAGGGGCCTGCGGTGACCTGAGCTGCCACAGTTCATTGCCAACAAAGTGCAATTTGCTCCTGTCGAGTTTGGTTGTAAATACGCTGCTGCCACCTGCTCCCACCCAGCAGAGCCACGGGCGGAGGGGCCGGGGCAGGTGGGCACTGAGCAGGCACCGCTGGTGACAGTGGGTGGTGTGAGGGTGAGGCACGGGGACACGAAGGCAAACACTGCACTGGGCTTGATGACAGCTTTTCTAGCATCCTCCATCTCCAGTGGATTCCTGAGTCAAGGATTTCAGACCCATCTGGTGAAACTCCACTCGCTCGAGTTTCCGGAAGAAGAGAACTTCCCCACGTCCCCCTGGCCACGGCCCAGCACGGGGGGCTCTGCCCAGGCAGGCACCACTCGCCCCGCCAGCCTTGGGGCCGGGGTTAAAGCCCAGCCACAGAGTCCCTGGGAAGCCAGAGCAGGTCAGGCAGGGGAGGGGGTGCGGGGGATGAGGAGAAGGGATGCCACCAGTGCCTGCTCCCCTGGGACCCTGAGTAACAATACTGCTGAGCTGCTCTCCAGTCCCTCCCCAATCCTGTCTGCCCTGGAGCAGAGCATGTGGGGCTGGAGCTCCACCTGAACAGACTGTAACAGTGGAACAGACATCACTGGAGGTGGTCTGCAGGCTTTAATTCCCTGCCATTGCCAGCCAGTGGCAATGGAAAGCAATAGGACCTTGCAGAACCCTTCTAACATGTCCATGTGGTCCCAAGGACGGATCTACCTACCCAGCTTCATCCCGCCCATCAGCTTTGCTTAAAGCTGTGCCAGAGGCTGATGGATCTTGAAAGCTTCTCAAGAGTTTAACACATCAGCACAAGGCTTATTGGAACTCGCCAGCAGCCAGAAATCCCCGAGCATTTTGGTGCCTCCTTGGAAAGCACAGAACCCCTGGTAGCCTGAAAATGAGTGGGAGTCCTCTGCAGCCCCAAGTGCCTCTCCAAGGCACAGCAGAGACAGCAGGAAATGCATCCCCTGCCCTCCTCCAGTCACTTCCAAGAGCTGGAGTCCTGGGTCCCTTTACTGTTCATGGTGACCATCCCAGGGAACTCCAGAGGTGTGCGTGTCCATCCTCCAGTGTCCATGTCCTTCTCTCAAGGTGCATGTGTGTCTTTCACTGAGTCTGGCTGTCACTGAATTCCCATGTGGGATGGAAGGGGAGCAGCACCCCACGGCCAGTGCATGCACCTGAGGGTGACAGGGTGCCCGAGAGCTGCTGGCAGCAGACCCCAGTGCGCTGCTGTGAGATCACTCTGTGCAAAACGCATCCGTTGCCTTCCAAGCCTGTCCCGCTCCCACATCCCCCCCATGGCAGTGCCCCAGCAAACCACAGTGTAGGGACCCCCCTCCCCATTGCCAGAGCAAGGGCTCGTCCTGCAGCTCCGCTCAAGGACACGACCACCAACCGGTGCATTATTTCTGGGAGACCTTACGACCATCAAATCTCCAGGTTTTGGTATTTTTTTAAACCCTGCTGTAGAAAGTGAAGTATATTTTCACAAGTGTTCTCCGTTTATACAGCTTTAAGTGCCAGGTAGTGTGTAGCCTTGTGTTCCCAGAGGTCCAGACCTGTCCCTGCCCCGATGGAGGTGACAAGGCCACGCTCCCTCTGCTCCATTTTCCCTCTTGGATGTTGCACACTGCATTCCATTGATTTTTTTTCTTTTCTTTTTTTTTTTTTTTTAAATACATTCATTGTTTAAACCACCGGAGGTTCTTTGAAGCTGTCATGACAGTAACTGCTGTACATAGATTTTGCTACATGTTGTAACTTTCCAAGATAGTTAGAACTCCAACCCCTTTGGTATTTTTATGTGATATTTTCAAAGAACCAGAACTTCTGGTTATATGATTTGATAATGGGACTCTGTATATTCACAATTCAGTCTCAACCCAATGCCTATGTGCTACTCCCAAAATAAAGCTACTGCCTTCTGCCTCCTGACTTTATGGGCCTCTGTCTTCTGTCCAAAATTGCTGCCGTGATGGTGTGAGGAATTCTGCATCTGGCACTTGTGCAACTGCACTTGTTAATGTTGGCCCTTTACACCTGCAGAAGAGAGACACAGGGTCTCACCTGCCTGGGCTGGGGCAGAATCACTGCCTAAAGGACCTCAGCATCCAGGCTGGTGTGATCAATATGAGCAGCAAATTCTTAAAATAGTATGGATTTTTTCCTCCAGCCTTCAGAAGAAAACATTTAATGAGCATATGAGCCAGTGAATTGTTTCCCTCTGAAAAGGAATTCTTGGCTGAGGTTGAGTTTATGTCCCAGGAGCCATTTATCTCCCCTGACACTAACAGCAGATAGATAGGGAGCAGCTCCATATCAGATGTCCTGGTTGTAGATTAGCTGGTTTACAGCAGCCTGCTCGATCCCTGGGTGCTCCCCAGAGGCTGGAACATGGCTCTGTGCAGAGTTATCCAAAATAGCCCCTGCTGAGCACGTGCATCTCCTTCCCATCCGCACGCAATCCTGAGTGACATGCTCCAGGGGAGCAGGGAGGTTGGATTAGGTGACCTCCCGTGGTCCCTTCCAGCCTGAACCATCCTTTGATTCTCTTTGAAGTGCTCAAAGCCCTCCTGATGTTTCCTCAGCCCTCCTGGCTGATCCCACCTGGCTCTGCTGCAGCCCCAGGAGCCTGAGCTGCCCAGTGTGGCTGTCACACCTCCCACTGCCCGGGCTGAGCCCACAAACCACCCCCAGAGTGATGTCCCAGAGCCCCCATGGCACTGTGTCCCACCCAACAGCCTCATCATTCCCTGCACGCTCCCATTGCTGGGTTTGGTAACTGCAGACATGAGGTAATTCCTCCCTGGCCCTGGCACTGGCCAGGCACTCTCCTTGGAGCCTCAGCCCAGCCTGAACAGAATTCCTGCGTCAGCCCCGTCACGGGATCATCCTCACAGGAAAGCCTGTCCTTGGAAAGGAAATAACAACTTGGGCAGCAGCCGGGGCCGGCGCCGGGAGTGCAGCCGTGGCTGCTCCTGCTCCAGGGGTGCCACTGCCCTCCCCTGGCACAGACCGGGAAACAGTGACCCTGGAAATCCCAAACATTGGATTGTTTAAGGCTTTTCACTCTTTCCTGCAAGAAAGGTGAAAAAGACCTCAAAGAGGAAATGATAAGCTGGAGTAAGTCACGGTTAAAAGAGGATCACAGCTGGGATTCCAGGCTGGCACCTCCATGGCAAAGTGGAACCACGTTCGAACCCTCCCTCCAAGTATCTGGATAATGGTTTGAATGGTCTCAATCTCTAATTATTTTCCAGGTGCCAAGAAAAATGCCAAAGAGACAAACAGAGATCTCAACTTCAGGCTAGAAGGGCTGGAGGTCAGGAAAAAGTGGCACAGACTGGGAGGCAGCACTTGCAGCCCTCGAGGATCCACCTTGTTCTAACACGATTTAGGAAAATCTGGGGTTTCCAAATATTCCCAATGGCAGGATTCAAAGGCCTTGTTACATTCATCAGAACTGTGAGTGAGAAACATGAGATAAAATACAGATACTGAGTTTTTCATGGAATCATCGAATCCCAAAATGGTTTGGGTTGGAAGGGACCTTGAAGATCATCCAGTTCAACCTCCTGCCATGGGCAGGGACAGCTTCCACTAGCCCAGGGTGCTCCAAGCCCCGTCCAACCTGGCCTTGGACACTTATGTGGATGGAGCAGCCACAGTTTCTCTGGGCAACCTGTGCCAGGGCCTCACCTCCCTCAAAGGGAAGAATTTCTTCCCAATATTCCATCTAACCCTGCCACTCTCAGGTTAAAACATGCCCTTAGGGGGTCACCTACAGTAAAATTCCCGTTGGTAACTCCACTGTTGGGACATGGAATAAGTTTGTGTGAGGACAGTGCTCGTGCTCCATCCGCCCTCCCAGCCCAGGGGTTACCTGCCCAGCAAAGGGCTTCTCAGCAGTGCTGCCTGGGGCTCCACACACCCAATCCAGGGGGTTGTGAGCTGCCTCCTGCCGTGGTCTCTCTGTGCTGCGAGGTCCCTCTTCAGCATCACTCTCTGTGTGTTTTGGCCCCAGTGGTTTGTCAGGATCTTCAAACAGATGATGCTGAAGATAAATCTCCAGCCTGGCCCAGAGGGGGATTTGATTCTGAGATTAACCTACAGCCTCAGCAGTGTGTTACAAATCCCAGCCCGGATGGATCCTGCTCTTAGTAAGGCTCAGGCACAAACACAGGGACAGGACCAGCGGTCAGCTCCTCCCTGTGCCACGGGCTGTCAGCTCCAGAGAACATCAGCACGGATTTTTTATTGTTCTGTGTCCCTTCTGTAGCTGCACAGATTGCTTAAGAGAATGGCACTCTGTGGAGTTTGACCCGGGAGCCCTGATAGTGAAAATAATACACTTCTCACCAGAGCCACGGGAGACCAAAAGAGTAACTTCGGTCAATTAGTTTAACTTTGACTATAAATATTCCTTCTCATTCCTTGTGACCCTGTTAACAGCTCCGCTGGCAAACCCCGATTCTCTGGCAATATTTAAGCTGCCTGTCAGTTGGCAGAGCCCTGGTGGTGCCCGGCGCAGGGAGCAGAATAAGACCCAGCTGAGCACAGTAAGTTTCCTTTCGGCTTCTACCTCGAGTGGGGGAGCTCCGGTCGGGTTCGGGGCTGGTGCTGGGCTGCTCTCGGCCTGGGTGAGCAGCGGTGTCTGTAGGAGGTGGATGGACCTGGGAACGCTTTAAAAAACCTGTTGAGGAGGCATTTAGAGCGCCACGGTGCCGACGGGTTCCTCGAGAGCCACGTGGGCTGCGTCCCCCCGGCACCGTTGATAAAGGGCAGCTTCAGCGGCTTCATTTCAATGCCACGGATGTTCCTTCCTCACAATCTCTGGCGAGGAAAGCGCCGCCGCCTGTGCCAGGCACCGAGGGAGAGCAGGCTGTGAGCTGAATTCACAAAACGGGCAAAATTTCCACTGGGCCGTGGCAGAGTTGGGACCTGGAACCAGAGCAGCCGCCTCTGCTGTTTTCCTACCACCAGCCTGCGTGCTGGCCCGGGAGTGCACGAGGAGCTTAACAGGCACCTGTGCTCAGCTCTGGGAACCTCCCCTGGAGCGCATCCCGCCTCTCCATGTTTACTGACAGGCACAACATGCCTGCAGAGCTCTGTCCTGCTCTGCACATGTCTCGGAGGGAGCAGACACGACCCTGCCCACCCGTGTGGCTGAATCCTGAGTGTGAGCGAGCGTGTGTAGCTGCAGCACTGGCTGCCCCTCCAGTGCAACCCAGAGCGGACTTTGATGACCCCTGTGGGTCCTTTCCATGATTCTGTCATCCTATGGCCTCCCAAAACAGCAGTATCAGAGGGAAAGTGGGAGGTGTCAGAGTGGGGTTAGCAACTTCCCCAGGCTGACATACCAAACCCTGTTTTTCTTTTCCTAGTTAGAGGATAAGCATGCCAGTAAAAACTCGGCAGCAGCCAAGACACATTGGCTCTTAAAGAGGTAAGATAGCACTGATCTGGTCATCAGTGCTCTGCATCCTTGCCAGGCAGAAGCTCCCAAGGGAGTGGGATCCAGGGGGTTTATAAGGCACAGAAAAGGCTCTGCCAAGGTGCTGCAAGTCCCTGCACCTCAGCACCGGGTGAAGCCGGTGGCAGTTGTGACACACGTGGCTGTGGGACAGGTCCTGGTCCGGGCTGTGCCGCACTCCCGGGGCTCAGAGGCAGAACTCGTTTGGCTGCTCGTCCCATCTCCCGTGCCGAGTGCCCCGGGCTGCTGCAGGCCACCCCTCGCCCCACCTTCTTCAGCTTTTTGCAGGGGGTAGGCTTATAAGTGTCTCCTTGCAAGTGCAAGAGAGGCCTAAGGACACGGCCTGCTGTGCAGGGCAGGGACCAGCAGACACCCGGCGCGGCCGTCCCGGTGACACCAGGGCTGGGGCCGGGGCTGAGCTGGGGCGAGGCAGTGCCGGGGCTGGTGAGTGCTGGTCCTGCTCCTCTTTGGAGGAACCATCTCCTTGGCTCAGCAGGGTAAGAGGAACGATCCCAAACCTGCTCCGTGTGGCACTGAGGGTTCTCTGGGGACCGACAGCAGCCACTGCCGAGCCAGGGGCTGTCTGAGGTGGCCCTGGATGCCACTCACCTCCTGTCCTGCTCTCAAAGTGCGGCTGAGCTGAGCTGAGGGGAGGAGGAAACTGCTGGAGCAGTTCATGTGCCTTCACCTCCCACGGCTTGTCACCAACGGCTTCACACCAACGGCTCTCCACAGCCACAGTTCTGGCAGCAGCTGCTCCCTGAGGCCAGTCCTGCAGCGCTGCAGCAGTGGGACCCTCAAGCTCTCATCACCAGCTCTGCCACATCCCGCTCCTTTCCTCCACATATTTCAGCTATTTCTACCTTCTGTCTTATGCACCTGTTTCTCCTCAGTTAGAAAATTGCATAAGAAATCCCACCAAGTCATGCTGTCCTGACTGCTGGCAGCATCTCCACATCACAGAAAGGGTGAAGACAAGATCCTTCCCCACAGCTCCGGCACGAGCAGCTGGAGCCAGAGCTGAGAACCCTGAATTCCTGAAGGAACAGTCACCACATTCCCTGGGCTGCCACATCCTCCTCTAAGCATGTCACCTGTTCTTTAACAGGTTTATGCACCAGGACCAAGGAGTGCTCAGCCTGCCTGAGAAGCCATGGAGCCCACCAGTGTCCCCCCGGCCTCTGTGACCCCCTCGTGGGACGCGTTCCCCCAGCAGACGCTGGAGCCCGTCGACATCGCTGTCCTCGTGCTCTACTTCCTCTTCGTCCTCGCAGTCGGGCTGTGGGTAAGCAAACACTGTTAAAACCTTCCTGTGTGCCTTGTTATGCTGAAAAACATGGCTGGCTTGGCCTCAAATTATTTTACTTTGGCTGGAGTCAGGCTTCACTTTGCTGGATTCAACCGAAGAAGTGCAAAGAGGGAGTTTACAGGTTGTTCCCCTGACCTTGGCCTGGGGAAGTGT